TATATATAATCTTTCTAATCCACACCCATAGTAACACAGTGACCCACCTCTTCCTGCCAGGCTTCACCTAACATCACACCCAACTATAAACCCATCAGTGGACTAAGCCAGTCATAAACATCACAGTCCATAATCCAGTCAGTTCCCCAAAGCCCCACGAATGCATGAGGCTTTGGGAAGACATCTAGAATAAGTTACAACATTCCTCCTCCTGAGCTGCTTAGAGTTTTGCTTCGTAGTAACCTCTTTGCTATATGAGTATCTTGTCTTAAAACAGAGTAATAGAGGAGTAGCCTATAAAATTCCCTTACCCTTTTGTTTTCTTCTTGACCTGATCTGTTGCTTAAATTAAGTTGTTACTAGAACCAGCTTTGATATCCCAATTGCTGAAGAAGAAACAAAACAGAATCCTTAATGTCTTCAGCTATAGGATAATGAAGTAAAGTGGATAAAAACATTTTTTAAAAATCATACATAATAACAAATATCATTATTGCTCATTGAACTTAGTACTGTACTCTGAGCATCTCAGAATTATTAACTATACGGACCCAAGCCTGGCAAATACATTCAAGACAAAATAGTTTGTAAGTGGCAAAATTTAAGATTTAAGCTCATTTCCATCCCACATAGCCTTAGCATTTAACACTGCACTTTTGTTTCTGCTTATAGCATGTGGATCTGAAGTGAGTAACTCAGTCTGACTTAAGTCTTAGATTTAAGTACTATTTGAAGGAATGTTTTATATCAAAATGTTAGTACAACTTGACCTATTTTAAAGGCCACGCAAATTATTACTGTCTTGGAGCATGTTTAAAAGAGATACAGCAAAAACTCATAGAGAAAATATTTACATCATTCTAGAAATATGGGAATTACACATGCTTTACCCCATGCCTGATGTAGCAGTCTGGGTTGTCAGCATATGGGCAACTAAAACAAACTATAAGTATGGATATAGCTGATCAGGTGAACTCAAGACCTAGATGTATCAGGAAGATCACTAAAGCAGCCCCCAGGAAACTCCTCTAGGGCTGGGAGTTTAATCTCCATAACTGCATTTCCCTTTGTGTAATGTTTCTGTATTCCATTTCATTGAGAGAACTGCAGCTATTTTTCTTTAAGAAACATTTTTGGGGTGGGGGAAGATAGCTTGGTGGTTTAAGTGCCTGCCTGGCAAGCACAATGAACCAGGTTCAGTCCCTGGTACCACGTGCCATGCTGGCCCCGTGCTGAGCCAGCTACCAAAACCAGGTCTGGTAGCATATACCTGTAATCCCAGCACTGGGGAGGCTGAGACAAGAGGATCACTATGAATCCGAGCTACATAGTGAGATCCTGTACCAAATAAATAAAAGATTTTTTTTTTTAAAGAAACGTTTTTCTTTTTTTTTTCCCCCCAGGTTATTTTCTTTAGATTAACTGTGTCATCCTAGTAGGCTTGGCTTTAATGTAAATTAGGGAGTTTTAAAATGTTTACAGCAAAAAATGGATTGTGATAAAGTAGACCATGATGTGTATTCTTACTTTATTATTTTTTTGTACAATAAGATTGGTTCACTAAAGTTTTTTGATTATTAATAAAGTGTCCTATATCCTAAGATAATTGCATGGACTCATAGTTTACTAGCTAAGACTTGGCAGTAAGTTTCTCAGAGAAGTAACTTTGGTTATTAGTAGAACTTTACAAAAACAAATGGTCTGGGCTGGCCAGATAGCTCAGTGGACTAAAGTGCCTGCTTAGGCAGATGCAGGGGTCGGGGTTCGATCCCTGGAGTGCTGTGCCGGCCTCGCCCTGGGGCATGCTGAGACAGAGGTGGAGACTGGGCATGGTGGTGTGCACCTATAATCCCAGCACTTGGGAGGCTGAAAACAGGAGGATCACTACGAGCCCAATCTGTGTAGTGAGACCCTGTACTAAATACATTAAAAAAAAAAAAAAAAAAAAAGTCTTTTCCCCCCAGACCAGAGGCTATAAATTATATTTCTGTTCTTTTTAAAATGTTCTATGTATTTATTATTTTAAATTGACAAAATTGAATTTGCCAACCTGAAAAGCTAACCATTATTTTTAACTTGGAAAACTTAAGTGATCTGTCGCTATTTTTTTGGGTCATTTTTCTTTCTGAATAATTTAAAAAGCACATGATTGTGCTTTGGTTTCTCAGACCCACATTTTAGGAAATATAGCATTTATCCCTCAAAGTGAATCTCTACTCAAGTAGTGCTACTTCTGTGTCTTCATATTGTGACAGTTTAACATTGCTTATTGAGAAGTTAGCACAGGTAAATTAAGTAGTAGAAACTCGTTGAAGAGGGTACCATTCTTTTTTTACTTTAAGAAGAAATTATTCAAATTCCATGTATTCAGGAAGACAGATGGCAGTTATAAGTTACTTTAAGACTAAGCTAATACATTTAATTCCCACATTAGATGACAGAATGTACATTTGGGGTTTTTCATTTTATAGATCTGATGTTAAAGAAGGAAAAAAGCTATATCTCTGCCATTTTTTCAGTAGTAGTGTTTGAAGCAGTATGCAAAAGATGGAAGCAAAATTGTCTAGGACACAATTCTTTTCCGTGTTCTTGCTCCTCCTCCTTGACTTTACGTAATCAGTCACTTGTTTCTCTCAGTATTTTTGAAGTGATTTTTGTAGTAATATACTTTCAGGTTTTGTTGGTATAGCTAGTATTAGAGATTTTGTAAAACAGTAATGTATGTATATTATAGACATACAGGACTGGTGTTCCATAAACACCTTGGGAAGGGCGTTAGTAGAACGTTAGATGTTTTTACAGAAATTACAATAACACTTCAAAAGCTACCCTCAAAATGGCAACTTGAAAATATAGTTGTCTTTGCACTTTAATAAATTAAATATTTTTGTGTATGTGAATTGCTTAGCAAGTATTTTTAATTCTGCTGTAATCTTAATTACTACTGTCTAAACTTATAGCAACCCAAATTAATGAGGTTTCTGAAATTTTCTTCCATCTCAATACTTACATGAGACAAGACACAGTACTTCCTTTGAATTACATATTAGGTCGTTTTGCCATCCAGGAAGCATGTAGTTCAAATGATAGTGTCAGATCTCAGATAATCAAGGCATACAGTACCAAATCAAAATGTAGAAAAACCAGGTTTGTGCTCCAAATACATTGAGTATATTTTATAACAGAAGAGCCTTGCAGTGTTAAGAATTCAGACTAAAATATATGTGAAAGTCACCAATTTTTAATTTATGTTCCTTCCATTAGCTTAAGAACTGATCTGATCACTTAATTTTGTTGCCAAGCTCCTCATAAAAGGGATATTACCGTATAAAAATGAAGTTTGGATAAACTATTACTAAAATACCAAGACAATTGAATAAATATACATTAACAATGAGAATATCTGAGAGAATAATTTGAGCCTGTTTCACCTGTTGTTTTGACTTAGATTTCATGTGATAACACAAGGAGAAAGCCAGAATTTCAGGGGTAAAAATGAGGTAGTTCATATGTCTTCACTTGCAAAAATATGTATAGTGTTATGATTTCATACTTAAAAAATTTGCAGTTTGCTTTTAAAATAACACACTTCATGTCAATTTTTCTGAGCACTATACATACACCTGCTATGCCTAACCAGGGGCCTGCTAAGCATTCAAGAGATAATTCATTTCTCAAAATTAATGGATGAATGAAGAAATAAAGGAAGAAAGAGTAAATAGCTCAGTAAAACCATCTTCATTTATTTGTGTGTTAGAAAGGTAAACTTTATTCTGCCTTTTAGAGCTTATCAGGGGGATAAGAATGTAAGATTTTCATGTCCATCAATCAGGTAACTTAAAAAACTTAAAATTAACCTAACAGGAAGGAAACTAAACTAGATACCTTGATTTCTTTAATCTTTGCCCCCTACTGTTAATTATTTGGCCACTGCTATCTAAATTTTTTTTGTTCTTTCATTTATTGACTAATGGACACACTAATATATTCCCTACCTTTCTAACTTGGGTAATGAAAGACAGAAAAGAGTTGTGAACATTTGAAGAATTATAAAGTATAAAGCCCTTTTTTGAAATTATTATTTACAGGCTGCCTAAATTGTATCTTTGTGAGTTCTGTCTAAAATATATGAAAAGTAGAACTATTCTACAGCAACACATGAAGAAATGTGGTTGGTTCCATCCTCCTGCCAATGAGATTTACCGAAAGAATAATATTTCTGTCTTTGAGGTAAGGTAGATGTTTAGTACTTGTCTTCTTATTTATTTCAACAGCAGTACCATCTGTGCTGGGTGTAGTTGTACAACATGTTTTTGGAAATGTTTTGCTGTTGTTCACTCACTCCTTAATCAGATACTTTAGTTACATAAGAAGCTGAGTTAGGGCAGACCAGATAGTAAGTACCCTGTTCACCAGCTTTGCCTCAGAATAGATTATTCTGTATTTCATTGAATCAAAGACATAAACTATTATATATCTTATTATTTTTTATGTACCACTAAAAGAGGAAAAGTACTGCTAATTATTATTTCTAATACTCTATTTGACATTTAGCCAATCAATTCTACGTCTGTTAAAATGTAATAAAAGTGTATCTTTTAAAATTATGTAATATGGCATTTAAATGAAAGGATTTCTGTTACTTAAAAGGAATAGAGATGAATTCAGTAGTATTAGTAAATCTTAGTATCATGTTTATGTCTGTGTTTTTGTGTTGCTATTAATAGTGATCTGTGTGGGCTTTTTTTTTTTGTATCTTCAATTTTGTAGTTTGCTATATGCTTAGTCTTGTTAATATAATGGTAGGATTTTAGATTAAATCTGCTCAGCCTCTTACTTTCCTGGTCTTCACTAAGACTTTCTTTTAGTTGATCAGTAAAGGAGCTCTTCACCTTGAGAGGAGGGGAGTACCAGGTGTGGTATACAGTACTGTTTTAGGACATCCAAAAGCAAATTGCTTCTAATCATACATTGGTGTGTATTTTAAAAGAAGTCATATGAAATATTATATATTTAGATAACAATCTAAATATTCAGTTAGCATGTCATACAATATCTTGAGCACTAATGTGGGCACCCATCACCATTTGTAAGAGTGAACTTGCTCAAGAACATAGAAAATGGACAGGCATGGTGGAGGTGTGGGAGGCTGAGACAGGAGGATCTCTGTGAGTTAGAGGCCAACCTGAACTGCATAGTGAAACCCTGTCTCAGAAAGACACACGCACAAAGAACACAAGAATGTCAAGATCAATAAAATGTAGTGCTCCTGATGTGGGCCAGTCTGGGTCTCATTTGCCAAGTTCATAGGAACCTGTGTGGTGTCTCTGAATGGCAGTAATACATGCTTGTGTCAGTTAATTTGGAATGTACCAAATTGTGGTAGTCAGATCGTGTTGCTTCAGGCTGCTGGTATAGGTAGGACATTACTTATATCATGTTTTAATGAGTATATTTTAGAAGAGATTGCATTTTTAAAATCTTTAATTCAGTTAAGTACTTCTGAAAACTAAGCTTGATGTCAGAAGGTTCCTACAATTGATCTTTTTTATAAAAGCAAAATACATAATTCTAAAATTAAGCGCCTGCTTAGGCAGATGCAGTGGCTAGGGTACAATTCCGTGCCAGCCCTGCCTCCGGGGCACACTGAGACAGCCATTGAGACTGGGTATGGTGGTGTGCATCTGTAATCTCACCTCTTTGGGAGGCCAAACACAGGCAGATCACTACGAGTCTGATGTACATAGTGACACCCTGTAGACCCTTACTAAAAATACAAAAAAGAAAATAAAATAATTTAAAAAAATAAAATCAGATCACCTCCTCATTTAGCTATTCCTGCTCTTTTGAAGTATAATATATATTTGATTGTCTTAAAATGGCAGACACTATGAAAACTACCACTTGAAAGGAGAACCTCCAAATTCTAGTGTGTTCTGATCGCTGACACCTTCTCTTGGGCTAGGCTACAAATACTTAGAGATGTTTGTAACTGTTGGGTATTGTTGTTGAACTAAGGGACATTCTACTGATCACTTGTTTTTTTGTGCCCCATTTAGGTTGATGGGAATGTGAGTACCATTTATTGTCAAAACCTGTGTCTCTTGGCAAAGTTGTTTCTTGACCACAAAACACTCTATTATGACGTGGAACCATTTCTTTTTTATGTACTAACACAGAATGATGTCAAGGGCTGCCACCTTGTTGGCTACTTTTCTAAAGTAAGTATATCAGCTTAAAATGTTTGAATTAACCTGGAAATTTGAAGTGGGTTTTGCTGGTTCTCAGTGGGAAATAATACCATTGTCATTTAGCCTTCTGGAAAAAGAAACAAAAGGAATATTCAGAAATTTATCAGCTGTTTAGCAGGTGCCTGGTAACATTCGACAGCCTATATTCTCCTAGGAACATGAACTGCCAGGAATACTCGAGAGGGAAGTTTTAAAATGACTTCTATTCCCATGATGTTGATAGAACTTGTGAAATAAACAGAGTCATTACTTCTGAGTTCTTTCTCAGCTTAAAACTCTTCCTAATTTGAATTATTTAGAGCTACAATAAGAGGAAGAGACCATTTTTGTCACCCAGTATTTTCTTCCTCCCTCTTCTATTCCCTTAGGGGAAAAAGTTTCTAGTCGAATAACATAAAAGATACACTTTTGTTTTAAGCAAGCCAATAGTAAAATCTTAATTTTTATAGAACAGTTCAGTGGGAAGTGCTAGCTTTACAGGAATTCTTTTTAAGGACTACTTCACCAGAAGAATGTGGTTTAAAATGTGACTAACTGATAAAAAGGCATTGTATCTCATTTGTGGGCCATTTTGTGTAAAGTATAACAAATTGGGACTGAAGCTACCCTAGGTAGCACCAAGGCAGGTAATAAACTTTAAAATAGTTGATGAATTTTCTCCTTCCTTGAGTGCTGCATTTATTCACGTTAAGTGTGCAACTGTTTGGGTCTCAAATTCCTCTGCTGATCAGAGGCATTGACATACTGATTTTGAGTTGCAGTGTTATTTGATGGTATCATTTTATCTTACATTTTTACTCCTCCAGGATGGTTGCTTTGTGAATAATGGTGGAGACTTAACATTGTCTTGTCTTCTCCCACTGGTGTGGTTTTTCTCTTATTCCCCACTTCCCATTCCCAGAGGCCTCAGGCTATGGTTTTGGCTGTTAGTCTTTGTTTGTTAATAATTGGTTTTACTACTTAGTTTTGCTAGCTTGTCAATTTAAAACTTGGCTTCCATTTTATTCACCAGGAAAAGCACTGCCAGCAGAAGTACAATGTTTCCTGCATAATGATTCTTCCCCAGTACCAGCGCAAGGGCTATGGCAGGTTCCTCATCGATTTCAGTAAGGATTATATTAATATATCTTCTCATTTTTCTGTGAACCTTCTGGATCTATATATTCAAAAGTTTGTAGATAGTATATTGGCTCCTGGTATCTCTTGTCATGATTCTACAGGTCTTTAAAACTTAAAATCACAAGTTGTTTTTTCTTTGATTGGATATAGTTTTAAATAGCTAATATTGAATGCAATTTTGTGTGATTGCAACAAGTAACTTTAATTTGCAGCTATTAATTTACAGTTTAATTGCTTTTAATATGATTGTACTAACACAATACTGAAAACATGGCATAACTACTGAAATCAGTGTTAGAAAAGAAGTACACAGCACCTGCCCTGTTTTTATTAACGTATTAGTTGAGAATATGTGGGCACTTACCAGTAATAGTCTCTGCCTAGTGGTTCAAACCATACAACTTGTAGCATTCTAAAGCAGTGAATGAAACAGTATATTATTTAATCTGAATTAGGAAGTAAAAGCTACCAGTTTTAAAGAGGTTATTGTAGAATTTGCATTCTGTTCGACATATAGGTAAACTTGCTGAGAAAGTTGTGTTATTAGTAAATTTAATTGTTATGTCTAAGGTCAAAACTAAGAATTTTGTTTCAATTCTTGAGAAATTAACTCTGACCTGGAACATTAAACTTGTTTTACTTGGCTTTCAACTACCATATTTTATTAGAAGTACATGTTACTGATTATTTCATACATTTTTTTGGTCTTTTTGGATTAGCAGTAGGGGATGGGACTTGAATTTGTTACCTTGAAATAAGACTGATGATTGGCTTATTAAATACCACTCTCTTCATTAGGGAAAATTTCTATGCATGGTGATTAGTGATATTTTATTTTATTTATGGTGATTTTGAGGTAGACATTTTTCTATATGCTTACAGTTTACTTTTCCTGGTATAGGCTATTTTTCCAGATTACCATTGTTAGACTGCTTTTAAATTTCCTTAAATGACAAAAACAGCTGTATCTTTTCTGCCATCTCCATTTTCTTTCTTCTTCTTCTTCTTCTTCTTTTTTTTTTTTTTTTTTTTAATGTATTTAGTACAGGGTCTACAGGGTCTCACTACAAAGATCGGACTCGTAGTGATCCTTCTGTTTTCAGCCTCCCAAGTGCTGGGATTACAGGTGCGTGCCACCACGCCCAGTCTCAGTCGCCATCTCAGCGCACCCTGGGGGTAGGGCTGGCACAGCAAAGCATGGTGGAGATGGAACCCCTGTCCCTGTGCCTGCCTAAGCAAGTGCTTTAGTCTGCTGAGCTATCTGGCCGGCCCTGCCTATCTCCATTTTCAGTCCTTTTCTTTTGGATCTTAACACTCTTTCTTTACCAGGTCTTGAAAGTTATGTAGGGGCCGGGGAGATGGCTCAGTGGAATAAGCGTTTCCCTGGCAAGCGCAAGGGCCTGAGTTCAATCCCCGGTTCTGCAAAAAAAAAAAAAGTTATGTAATAGGAGAAAGGTCAGAGTAATGTACCTTATGTTTGCACATTCCTGCTGACAGTCTTATTTTCTAATAGAGGGATTTTTGTAAGAAGTCTTGGTTGAAGTGTGAAATTGTTTCCCAGTTTGCTCAGCAAAGAACTGTAATCTTAGAATTAGGCAGAAACTGAGACTTTCTTTGTACTGTTCAGCTACAGCAGTCGCCATCTTGTGGTCCAAAGAAAACTTGCAAGAGTGGTTTTTGTTGCAGTAGTACATTGAAATTAAAATTATTGTTGCCTTAATCTCATTATTGCCATTTATTGATGGGAATCTTGGTTTTTTAACAGCGTCAGTATTTTAGCAAGGTGATTTATATTGATTGTAGACAAAATATTAGCCTGCTGTTTCATGTTGTTATCTCTCTTCCTATAAATTTGTTTTAGTTTTGCAATTTTGTTCCCCATGTTTGAAGGAATTTATCTTTGGTGTTATTTGTCTGTAATACTTGGATTAGGTGTGAGAAAGGGCTTTATTATTTTGGTGAATTGAACAGTTAGTAAGAGTCCCTGACATTTTGTGACCTGGGGTTTCTTAGGTTATTTGTTATCAAAGCGTGAAGGGCAGGCAGGATCTCCAGAGAAACCACTCTCAGACCTCGGGCGTCTCTCCTACATGGCTTACTGGAAGAGTGTGATACTGGAGTGCCTTCATCACCAAAACGACAGGCAGATTAGCATCAAGAAGCTGAGTAAGCTAACTGGAATCTGCCCTCAAGACATCACCTCTACACTGCACCACCTACGAATGCTGGACTTCCGTAGTGACCAGTGAGTACCACCTCCCTCTGCGCACTATCAGAAGGTCACTCCAGCGAAGACTTTGGGCTAGGTTGAGGAAGGATGTTATTGAGACACTGTTTTGGTTTCTATGTATTTTATTCTAATGGCCATATTTGTGTTTACATTGTTTTTCTGGTCTTCTTCCTAACTTTTGGACCTAAGCCACAGGTCTTTCTAGTAATGGGAGCTCATTTTATAAGAATTAACAATCTAGAAACAATATCATTAAGTGAAGTGTCTCTGTGATTAATTTCCATATAAATAATACAAAGTAAAATGAATATCGAGAAGGACATGGAATTCATTCTTGTCTGAACTAGTCAAGAAAGTAGCACAAAGGAGGCAGACATTTGAGCTAAATAGAGAATAGGAAAGCTCAAAGGAGCAGGAGCAATGTCAAATGTAGGAAGTTTAAGTCAGTAAGTGGTTAGACAGTGTACTCCATTGCTGCAGTGGTTTTTGTCCAACTTCATACTTCTTAGCTATCTCCTCACTGATAACATATTTCCCTATCTCATCTTTCTAAGCAGTCTGTTTGTAAAGCATCATCTTTGACATCTCCAGGATTTTCCCTATGTTATATCTGTATATTTTTGGTGCACTTTGTACATTGTTGATTGCTATAAACTTCTCTCTGGTTTTAGATTTGTGATTATTCGCCGGGAAAAACTTATCCAGGATCATATGGCAAAGCTTCAGCTGAATCTTCGGCCTGTAGATGTAGATCCAGAGTGTTTACGCTGGACTCCTGTTATAGTCTCCAACTCTGTTGTCTCAGAGGATGAAGAAGAAGAAGCTGATGAGGAAGAGAATGAAGAGCCACAGTGCCAGGAAAGAGATTTTGAGACCAATGTAAGCGCATGGCTAGTCTGTTTTTTATGACAGAAGATGTTATTTTAGTTTTCATTAGCATTTATAGTATGTATTATGGTATTTGGCTAACAAAGTAAATTCATATTAGAATTTTAGATTTTATTTCAGTGAGAGAAATTTCAAGAAGACTAGCTCTTGTGTAGTTTCCAAGCCCATCAAATTTATTACACTGTGTAAATTATGACTAAAACTTCAGCAGAATACCTCTAAGCACTCTGGCAGTTGAAATTTAAGATGTATGGTAATTGAGGAATTTCCAGTGATCTGTGACAGTTAAAATAAAATGAAAATATATGTTCTTTAAAATAGAATGTTCAGAAAACATTGTAAACGTGTATATTTTCAGCAGAGCACTAAAAGGTTCAGTGGATACTCGGGCATCTTTCATTGAAAGACTGATGGCTGTCTATACTACCTTGAGTAATTTTCAACGTTTTTTTTTCATGTGGTATACACTTTTTTTTTTTTTAAAACAGTGCATTCATCCTTTTTTCCTCCTTTGATAAACATAAAACTGTTGACTTTTTAAGTGGAATTAAATATTAGAATCAGTAATTTCAGATTTTTTCATATTTTTCGAATGTCTTCTTCCTCTTGCCCATGCTCTGAGAGCCTATTCTTCCCTGTTAATGAGTTTTTATTTCTGAAAAGTTTCATAAACAATCTCACGTGCCACTTACACGAATCACTCACTTTGTTTATCGGGGTAGTATTTCGTACTAGTTATAGATTACAAACTCTGGAGTCAGACCCCATAGGTTTATGTTATAGTTTCTTAATTCACTACCATATGTTGTAGGCAGTAGCAGGGGTTTTTGTGCTTCACTACCTCATTTCTCGGATGGAGATATGACAGTACTTCACAGTTGTGAGGATGAAATGAATAATACATTAGTAGTAAGTAGTGTATGTAAGCATTGCCTACCACATAGGAAATGTTTATGTTAACTATTGAGTAACATTATTTCCCTTGTAAGCTCTAATTTCTTATATCAGTATATATTTAAAAGAGAAAAATAGGTAGATATAACCAAACAGCTGTAAAATTAAGCAACATTGTTTCATTTTCTAAAATCAGGTGGGAAAGACGGTGTCGCGGGAAAACAAAGAACAAGATGCTTATTCTTCAGTAGAAAGTGAAAAGAAACCAGAAGCTATAGCTCCTGCTGGTTCTGCACGTCTGAGCAAGCAGGTCCTTCCCAGAGACAGTCTTCCTGCGAACAGCCAGCCCTCTCGACGGGGTCGCTGGGGGAGGAAGAACAGAAAGTCCCAAGACCGGTTTTGTGATAAAGAGTCTAAATTGCTCTTGGAGGAGCCTTCATCAACTCCTCAGGAACAGTATGGAGAATGTGAGGAAAAATCAGAAACCTCCCAAGAACAGTATGCTGAGCGTGAAGAACAATTGACAGCCTCTCAGGAGCAGCCAAGCCAGGAGGGGAAGCCGGACATTCCCAAAAGAAGATTGAGTGAGGGGGCTGAGCTATGGCGGGGACAGCTAAAGAAAAGCCCTGAAGTTCTAAAGTGCAGATTACCAGAAGGAAACGACAGACTGCAGCGCTGCTACAGTGATGGTGACAGGGCTGTCCTTCGGGGCTTCAGTGAGAGTAGTGAGGAAGAGGAGGAGGAAGAACCAGAAAGTCCACGGTCAAACTCACCACCAATTCTTACTAAACCCACTTTAAAGAGAAAGGTAATGCATTTTTTTTACCTGTCTTTTCTTTCTCTGGTCGCAGCTTATTGCACACATTTTTTCCTATGCTACAGTTCTGAGAGAATACAAGTAGAAATTCTTAATGCTTTTTAAAATTTCAAGCCTCAATATACTGTCGCTTATGATTGTCCCAGGAAATACTTGAAATGTCTTTTGGTTCTTGATAATTCATTTATGAGTCATTTAAATTTATGAGTTTATTTAAGGGCAAACTGTTTTAGCTTTATATTCAGGCACAGTAAGAAATTAACAATATGTAAATATGTCTCTCACAATTTTACTAAGAAGTACTTTATTGCATCTCCTAGGCTTATCTGACCTGCTAGCATCACTGCTTTTGCTCTGTGGGGTCATTATTAAGTAAAATAAGGGTTATCTAAGTGAACACCAGCAGTGTGATACCAGTATAGTCTAACCTAAAAATCAAGGTGGCCATTAAAGGACTCAGGAGGAGTAGTTATCGTATGAAGTATGCATATACCAGGCACAGGGATATGTCACATCCAGGCAGGAAGGATGATGAAGTAGGATGGCACGAGATTTTACCTCACTGTTCAGAATAGCATTTAGTCTAAAATACGAATTATTTCTAGACTTTATCATTTAATATTTTTTGGACTGCAGTTGAACATGAGAGTAAATGAAATCATGTAAACATACAAAGAGGGCACTGACTATACCTGAAGTATTCCAGGCTATAGGAATGAACTTTCAGCATTGTGCAAGGCAGCCAACTCACATGTATTAGTGTCCTATTGAGCTGCCCCCTTAGAAATGAGTGATAGCTTTCTCTCAAAGCAGTGAAACCATTCCTTTCCTTAACAAGGCCTTTAAAAAAAAAAAAGCTTTAAAGAATATTTTTCACATATATATCACAGCAAAGGAAATATAGCAAGTTCCCATATACCCCATATCCTGTTATGTTGCCAGGGCATATTATCTCTATTAGTGATTTCACTGTAGATTCCTTAGTTACTACTTGATTCTGATTTCCAGTTTTCCCTAGTGTCCTTTTGTTCCAGGACCCCATCCATCATACCACATTACAGTTAGTGGTCATGTGTCTTTAGGCTCTCCTTAGTTGTGACAGTTTCTCAGTTGGTTTTGACAGCCTTGACAGTTGTGAGGAATACTGGACAGTTACTTTGTAGAATATAACAGTCCTCTTGAAATTAGAGTGGGGCAGTATGGGTTTTGAGAAGAAGACCATAGCATTGAAGTATACATATCCTCGTGTGGATGGAGATGATCTTCGGTACAGATCTGTGTATCAGGGTATGTGCCATCAGTATACCTCTGTTAACTCAGGTGGTGCCTATCAGATTTTTCCATCCTTTGACTTTTCCATGCTGCTGGGGTGATCCCAGCTCTGCAGCCCACACTTAGATATGGGTAGTTTTCCTGAAGCAGATAACCTGCATAAATTATTTGCTTGGCAGATATGTCCATTCTGCCTGTTGATTTATTCATGTAATTCCTGATAGTATGGACTTGTAGATATTTACCTGTCATTTCAATTTATCATCCAGTGCTACTGGGGTTTTTTGTTTGTTTTTTAATTTGTTGCCCAAATTGTTCAGCTTTGGCCATTAGCTCTTGTAGATTTTACTCCTTTCACTCCTGTGCCTTTTAACATAGATTCCCTCATCACTGTGTTTTTTGTTTTGTTTTGGTCACTTTGGTTTTGCATCTACAAGATTCTCCAAATTTACCTTTTTTTTTTTTTTTTTTTTCCTTGTTCCAAGCCTAGAATAAACCATTGCTCAAAGGAGCAGGACCATTTAAATTATTTTAAATTCATTTATTTGTTTGATACAAGGTCTCACTATGCAGTTCAGATTTGTAATGATCTTCCTGTCTCAGTCCCTCCAGTGCTGGGATTATAGATATGTGCCAGCCTGCCTGGTTTTGGGGCCAGCTCAACATGCAATACTAGAGATTGAATCTGGGTCCTTGCACTGCTGAGCAGATGCTTAGACTGCCAAGCTATCTCCCCAGCCTGCCATTCTAATTTTCTTTTTAAAAGTTACTTCCTTTTTTATCTATCTATCTATCTATCTATCTATCTGTCTGTCTGTCTGTCTGTCTGTCTGTCTGTGTCTCTCTCTCTCTCTCTCTCTCTCTCTCTCTCTCTCTCTCTCTCTCTCCCTCGCCCTCGCCCTCGCCCTCGCCCTCTCTCTGTCTCTGTCTCTGTCTCTGTCTCTGTCTCTGTTTCTTTCTGCCGGGGATTGAACTTGGTTCCTTATGTGTGCCAGGCAGTCACTTATGCCACTGAGCTATATCCCCAGGCCAGCCCACCATTTTAAAAATTTTATGTAAAAATTGTATTTCCAGTTAGAACTTAGAGATTTGAAATAGAGAAAGTGAGATCTTCATTAACTGTACCATTCTTTATGTGCAGAATGCGTTTGCCTTCCAGGGGATTATATTGCCAGCTTATAAATTCAAATACATATTCTGTTTATTTCGTTTTTCCTGGTATTAAAGGAATATGGTAGTAATCAGTGAGTCCATATGCAAAGTACTTTTTTACATTCTTGAAGAAATTCAGTTACCTGATAATCAAGTATTGTGGACTGTATTGCAGTTTCTTACTAGATGTATATGATCTTGAGCAAGGCCTATAACCTTTTAAGCCTCTGTAGTATGGGGAGGGGTGTTGTCATTTCTAATATTTTGGATACTTTAAAATTTTAGGCCAAACAAGTGCAAAGGTGTGCTTAATATGCCGATTTTAATACCAGATTCATTTTATTATCACTAATACCAAGTAATTACCTTTCGGTTACCTATTTCTACACTCCACTGTAACTTTTTATGCATGGTCCATGATGGCATACAGCTGTATTGGTCTGCTAGTCATCAGAGTAGTCATATGAGACTTTTTATTCCTGTAGAATTTTTTTATAGAAAGGAGAAGTTAAGGGTTTAATCTCTGGGTCATTTCATTATTGAAATACATGACTCCCTGTGGTGTTAATTTAATTGAACTAATGAGATGATTATAAGGTCTGCTCTTTGGGCAGGCCTGGTTGTAGCATCTTTGTTCTTGTACTTTATGTATAATAGCTTACTTTAGTAGGAATATTTAGACTTTGACAAACAATATCATCATTTTACAAGTACTAATTCTATTAGACTTTTTTGTTTTTGTTTCTTAAAGACAAGAGTCTTACTACGCAGTTCAGTATGTGTGCTGCCAAAATGAGCACTTACTATGCAGTTCAAGCTGGCTTTGAACTCACTATCTATCTCAGGCTGGCCTTGAACTTGGGGCATCCTCATACCTCAGCTTCCCAAGTCCTAGGATTGCAGGTATGCGTCAACATGTCTGGCGCGATTAGGTTTGAAACATCTTTTTTGCTAATAGTATAAAAAGTAGTGTTCATTATGATAAGTAAAATACTTGCTTTTTGTACTAAATAGAAACCAATTCTTCACCGAAGAAGGAGAGTCCGAAAACGGAAACACCACAATAGCAGTGTAGTCACAGAGACTATTTCTGAGACCACAGAGGTATTAGATGAACCTTTTGAAGACTCTGATTCTGAGAGACCAATGCCAAGATTAGAACCCACATTTGAGATTGATGAAGAGGAAGAGGAAGAAGAAGAGGAGGAGGATGAGAATGAGCTGTTCCACCGAGGATACTTCCATCGTCTGTCCTCACAAAGTGTTCTCAGGTGCCGATCCTCTTCAAAGAGGAAGTCAAAAGAGGAAGAGGAAGAGGAAGAATCAGATGATGCTGATGGTATGTTTTATACAGCTGTAACTTATTATAGTTTTGTCTTTAAATACATAATAGTAATTCAACAAAAGGTTGTATATATCCTTCAACAAAAGCTTGAAAAATAAACACAGCCCACTAAGCAAGAAAAGGAATGCTTTCCTGGCTCTGAGAAGTACTAAGTATCTCTATGCTCCTTTTTGTACTTAGTTTCCCCTATAACTTAGAAACTTGTTTTGTCTCTGCAGAAAATATCTTAGTGTTAGGACTGCGTGCTTTTTTGCCTTTTTCTCAGCCTTCATCTGAATCTTAATGGATAATGGATGAATTGGACTTAGCACTAGGAAGATGGAATAAGCATTTACTAAAATGTATACTCTCTGGACTTTGTTGCTGTGTGCTGAGTGCTTGAGATAGATATTCAATAAATATTGTAAATGCTAAGAAGACAGTTCTTCAGTAAAAGCAAGTTTGCATATATTGGAACTTGTATCAGATGTATTTAGGAATTTTTGCTGAAGCATATCTCTAAGGTGTCTCACCAACTAGTACTGTAGTACATGTTTAATAAATGGTAGCAGTAAGTTCACTTTAAAATGTAGGTTAGGCGGCTGGGGAAATGGCTCAGTGGAATAAGTGCTTCCCTGGCAAGCACAAGGGCCTTAGTTCAATCCCCGGTTCCGCCTAAATAAATAAATAAATAAAATAATAATAAAATGTAGGTTAGAATCCATTCATTTACTTTTAAAATAGCCTTGTATTCATCTTCTAGAGACATAGAATTGGGGCTTACACTAGGAACTGAATCAAAAGCTAGGCTTTTTCATCTTAAAGTTTTGCCAGCGTGTCATGTTGCTGGTATTTGCAATGTGTTTACCTTACAGTGGGTTTGCAGAGCTTTTTCACTTTGCTGGATGAATGTGAAGAAATTTCATTATCTGTCTTGGTACCTGAACTTTTATGGTGTACCTAGTTGAGCTTTTCATGCTATTTTTGAGTACGTTGATTTCAAATCCAGTAGATACAACATGCATTTTCCTCATTCTTATGGTTTTAGATAACAAATGCTTTTAATACAGTGATAAGACAGTTTTACTCTCCTTTACTATGAATGATTCTCCAGTTTTACATATATTTTAAGATACAGAAGTAGGAAACCAAAAATTTATTTTGTAAATTTGGAACTTTACATTTTATCTTGAACTACTTGGACACTACAGTAGTATCCCCCTACTTAAGTTCCTGTCAATTAAAACACTTTTCTCAGTTTCCTGGGCTTTACTTTGAAGCTACTACCATGAACTGTACCTTATTATCTCTCCTTCCCAAATCCTGTTCTTGTCTTGATGTTCTTAACTTGTAAAAAGTTATTGGGAATTTTGAATGCGCTTCATGCTACTAAACTGTACGCTGTAAAATGGTTAAAATAATTTTATGTTAAATTTTACGTTAACCATTTAAAAAATGTGCTTTAACTTTTTCTTGTTTAGGACTAAATGTCAGTGTTTGCCTTGGAATAAAAGGCTTGTAGCTATTCCCAAATGAACACAATATTGAGCACTTAACTCACATGGAATGGCTTAGTCTTGATCCTTGGCTTTATGAAGTAATGACTTTGTAGAAACTAAACACCAGAGAAATAATAAATTGCAAGAGGGAAAAAGAAAAGGAAGAAATAAAGCTGATTTGTAACTTCATAATATTTAGTGATCTTATTACTAAAGTAATTGTTTTATAAGAGTACAGGAACAAGGAAAAATGCAAGTTATTTGCTAGATTTGAAATCAAGTACAGACTTGCTACAAGTTATCACAAGTTTATAAGGTGTATTCCCATTTCATAGATGATGCAACAAAAACTTAAGAGTAGCTTTCTAAAACCAGAATTGATACATTTGAACTGGTTTTACTTAGTAGTTGATAACATAATATTGACTAGGACTTTTCATTGTTCTACCAGTTCACTTGAGATGTCATCAATTAGCTTTATCCATTAGATTCTTAATGTTTAAAGGAATTGAACCACCTAGAGGTGATGACTTAATTTCTGTTGTACATGGACTTAGAAAAAGACACTAGACGTGTAAGGTCTTGTAACTTGTTTTTTTTTTTTTTTTTTTTTTTTTTTTTGTTTTTTTTTATCCCTTCTGTACAGACACTCCTATTCTAAAGCCAGTATCTCTCTTACGAAAATGTGATGTGGACAGTTCTTCCCTTGAGCCAGATACATCCACACCTATGAAGAAGAAAAAGGGATGGCCCAAAGGCAAGAGCCGCAAGCCAATCCACTGGAAGAAAAGACCTGGTCGAAAACCAGGACTTAAGTTGAATCGGGAAATCGTGGCCATTTCTACTCAAGAATGCATCATTGAGCCTATTGTCCCCATTCCTAAACCTGGACGAAAAACCAAAACTCAAGAGAATGAAGAAACTGTGGAGCTAAAAGAAGATATACCCTTATTGGAAGAAAGGAAGGAAGAGGAGATGCAGGTGGGAGCAGAAGAGATTGAAGAGGGAGAGGAAGAGGACATAGCCAGCAGTGAAGTGAGAGCTGCTTCTCCAGTGGACAGCAGCAACAGTCCTGAGACAGAAGCAAAAGAACCTGAGGTGGAGGAGGAAGAAGAGAAGCCTCGAGTGTTAGAAGAGCAAAGGCAGTCGGAAGAGGAGCCTCAAGAACTAGAAGAACAAGAGCCAGAGGAAGAAGATGAAGTGACTGTAGAGGCAAATCAGAACGAAGACCATGATGCCGATGATGAGGATGATGGCCATTTGGAATCTTCAAAGAAAAAGGAGTCAGAGGAGCAGCCAGTCAGAGAAGGTGTCAAAGAGGAACCTGTTGGTCAGGAATCTTTTTTAGATACTAACTTGCAGAACAGTAGGGAAAATACAAAGGATAAAGATGAAACAGAGCCAGATTCAGAAGAAGAACAGCCTTCCCATGAGGCATCTGTTGTGTCAGAGCATATGCCTGGGTCCGAGGATGACCATGAAGAGGATTCAAACACTAAGGAAGAATTAATTGAATTAAAAGAGGAAGAAGAGATTCCTCATAGTGAGCTGGACCTGGAAACTGTACAGGCAGTGCAGTCTTTGACTCAAGAAGAAAGCAGTGAGCATGAAGGAGCCTACCAGGACTGTGAAGAGACACTCGCGGCTTGTCAGACCTTGCAGAGCTACACTCAAGCCGATGAAGACCCTCAGATGTCAATAGTTGAAGACTGCCATGCTTCAGAACATAATAGCCCAATATCCTCAGTTCAGTCTCATCCCAGCCAGTCTGTCCGTTCGGTCAGCAGCCCCAACGTGCCTGCCCTGGAAAGTGGTTACACACAGATCAGCCCAGAACAGGGCTCCCTATCCGCGCCCTCTATGCAGAACATGGAGACCAGCCCTATGATGGATGTGCCTTCCGTATCAGACCACTCTCAGCAGGTGGTAGACAGTGGCTTCAGTGATCTGGGCAGTATCGAGAGCACCACAGAAAACTATGAGAATCCAAGCAGCTATGATTCCACAATGGGAGGCAGCATTTGTGGGAATAACTCTTCTCAAAGCAGCTGCTCCTATGGTGGGTTATCATCCTCCAGCAGCCTCACCCAGAACAGCTGTGTTGTCACTCAGCAAATGGCAAACATGGGCAGCAGCTGCAGCATGATGCAGCAGAACACTGTCCAGCCTGCCTCCAACTGCAATATCAAGTCACCTCAGAGTTGCGTGGTGGAGAGGCCTCCTAGTAACCAGCAGCCACCGCCGCCACCACCACCACAGCAGCAGCAGCAGCAACAGCAGCAGCAGCAGCAGCAGCAGCCCCAGCAGCAGCAGCAGCAACAACCAGCACCCCAGCCTCCACCACCCCAGCCACAACCCCAACCGCAACCACAACCACAGCCACAGCAGCAGCAGCAACAGCAACCTCAGCCCCAGCAGCCTCAGCCTCCACCTCCACCCCAGCAGCAGCCCCCACTGTCACAGTGTAGTATGAATAACAGTTTCACTCCAGCTCCTATGATCATGGAGATACCAGAATCTGGAAGCACTGGGAATATCAGTATCTATGAAAGAATTCCAGGGGATTTTGGTGCCAGTAGCTACTCTCAACCATCAGCCACCTTCAGTTTAGCCAAGTTGCAGCAGCTGACTAACACCATTATGGACCCTCATGCCATGCCTTATAGCCATTCTCCTGCTGTAACTTCCTATGCAACCAGTGTTTCCTTGTCCAATACAGGACTGGCTCAGTTAGCACCGTCTCATCCATTAGCTGGGACCCCTCAAGCACAAGCCACCATGACGCCACCCCCCAACTTGGCCTCCACAACCATGAACCTCACATCGCCTCTGCTCCAGTGTAACATGTCTGCCACCAATATTGGTATTCCCCACACTCAGAGGTTGCAAGGGCAAATGCCAGTCAAGGGGCACATTTCCATCCGCTCCAAATCTGCACCACTTCCCTCAGCAGCAGCTCACCAGCAGCAGCTGTATGGCCGCAGCCCACCTGCAGTTGCCATGCAGGCTGGCCCTCGTGCATTGGCTGTTCAGCGTGGCATGAACATGGGGGTTAATTTAATGCCAACTCCTGCCTATAATGTCAATTCCATGAATATGAACACCTTGAATGCCATGAACAGCTATCGGATGACACAGCCCATGATGAACAGCAGTTACCATAGTAACCCTGCCTACATGAACCAGACAGCACAGTATCCTATGCAGATGCAGATGGGGATGATGGGGAGCCAGGCCTATACCCAGCAGCCTATGCAGCCAAACCCTCATGGAAACATGATGTACACTGGCCCCTCCCATCACAGCTACATGAATGCTGCTGGTGTGCCCAAGCAGTCACTCAATGGACCTTACATGAGAAGATGAGCAAGGAAAAACTAGAGTTAAATATATATAAAGAAAGGAACCTTTTATACTGACAAACCAGAGAAAAATGGACCTTTTTTCCAGTTAAAATATTGCTGTAGACTTAGAGGAATTTTTCTTTGGTTTATTTTATTTTTTAGAAAACCTGATCTTTTTGGGTTCATTTTATTTTGGGTTTTGGTTTTCTTCACAGTCTTGAGCATTTTACAGTAGAACTCATCTAAAAAATGTATTTAGGGATAGGGGAAACATGCACAAAATCTTTTCATAATTAAAAAGAGCCTTACTTTCTTTACATACCACATGGACAGAATTTGTGTAAAGTGAATTATCTTTATTTTATTTTAAAAATGTATGTTTCCCCTCAGTGTTTGCAGCTCCCAATGTTGTCATTTTTAAATGTTATATACATCTCCAGGGTTAACCATACCCTTTCTTCCAAACCTAACTTTTCATTTCCTACTTCATTCCAGCAGGAGGCACTTATGGGAGACCAGGATGGGGATGTGGCGAACAACCCAAGCTCCTTAAGCTTATTGTTAATGTCATTATTGTTATTATTATTATTAATAAAGTGAGGCAGGAAATGCTTCTCCTTTTAAAATCCCCTCCACTCCTTATACACACACACACCTCTTGAAACCTTTCCCCAAGAATGTTTCTTTTATATAAATGGACTTCATTGAAATCTTTTTCTTGAATCAAGTGTAATGTAATTTTTTTCTTTTGTAATATTCCCACTCAGCACTCAGAGACACAAAAATACTGTAAGTCTCACTTAACAGCAGAATCTCAGAGGAAAGCTGATTGCAATCCTAATCCAGCCTTTGGAGGAATAGAGATGGTTAATTAACAATCAAAAGGAGGAAATGAACCTCTTGGTTTTTTACCACCTGGTTAATCAGCCATAGCATACATATTCCACCCAGCCTCTTGTTTTTAGTATGTACTTTGAAATGTTAATTAAGGGTCTTGATTCTTGAGCCTTCAAATAACAGTCCCCCACGATTTGCCTCTTACATTCTTTCATACAGTGTTGGTGGATGACTGTACATCTCAGTAATTTAAAACATACCTGACAGATCTTTTGACACTGTTGATTTTATGTTGGAAGAGATGGTGCAGAATGTGTGTCCAAAGGGAGATTATGATGTGAGTTTTGTAGCTAATTAAATGATACATACCTCTAGCTTTCATTGAGATCTTGAGTTCATCCCCTGTGAATCAGAGTGCACCAGCCCCTCTCCTGTGAGCGGCTGACAAGAAGAGGGACAGAACCACCACCAGCATCATAGGGCACAGCTGGACAGCAGGAGCTCAGCAGGTTCACATATTGCCCCAGACCATTCTTTTTTCTCTTGTGCAACCAGTTCACCCATTCTCTTCCTATTACTTGCTCCAGGGATAGGTTTAAAAAAAAAAAAAAGTATATATATATATATATATATATATATTCCATCATTAGAAGATGGAAACTATTATACCACTTGGTATGTGCAGTCAAATATCCAAAAGGGGGAAATATTGCTTAAAGAAATACCTGTAAGCATAAATTCTCTCCTTTATTTGTACATTTTATATAGATAAATTTTTAAAGTACTAATTAGGCATTAAATTTTTTTCAGATGCACAGGTTTGTTGCTTTTTTTATACACTTTAATTGACTTTCTCAATTAAGTGTGTTAGATAGAAAAAGGCAGAATTCCAGACCTTACCGCTATCAACTCTGAGCATGTGCAAGGCTGTGTAGGACCCAGTTTCTCTGTATATACTATTCCAGTTCCCAGTCATCTATGTAGAAAGTGCACTGTGCTGCCCTCTCCCTACATCTTCAGCTGTATCATTGCTTCCTGGATGGGATGGGGTGGGGATGGGGGGCCGGGAGGGAAGTATATTGGGAGGAGGGTGGGTCAAGGCAGAAGGAGAAGCTGTTGAAATGAGGGCCGTGAAATCAGTTTCTGTTGGTTTGCGGTTGTGTTTGATTTTGTTTCTTTAAAAAAAAAAAAAAAAAAAATCAATCGGGCAGCTCCCTTTTCCACAAGCCTCTTTGTGACTGTAGAACTATTGTAGGAAAAAAATGTTCTTTTCTATATTATAAAAGAAATTATCCAACACAGTAATATTGGTACCTGTCATTTTTTCACTTGTTTTAAAAAAAAAATGTATTTTTAGCAAGATAACTTGGGTAATCTTCTAAAAAAGAAATTTAAAAACACTGTTAGTGACTTTGATGCCTTTTAAAATAAGAGCTTTTTCATTTCATTCCATCTTTAAAATTTTTTATCTTTGTTGTAGAATATTAAAAACTATTTTAAGAAAGATAAAATTCTCTTTAAAGAGATCTCTAGAGTGTGTGAATAGAGCTCCAGATGCCTCTAAAAGCCGCATGTACAAATGAAGCTAAGTCTATTCCTGTCTGTTTATATTTGCTTTTCCTGTTTTGTAACCTTTGTACTTTGTTCATGGTGACCTGTAAGCTCGGGGAAGGGTGCCGAGATGCCTTTGTACTTCTCCAAGTCGTGCGCTCCTGGGCCATCGGCCCCCTTCCTCTCCTTGTATGTAATATCTTTTTTTCCCCTTTCTAGCAAGTACTTTCAAAAGAACTCTGTACATTTTAACATAAAAAAATAAATTATGTTGAGCCATTTTGGATGTCTGTCTTGCATGTGGAATTTTTCTCCCAAATGTTTCAGGCTAATTCTTTCTTTACACACACAGACCTTGTAAGTATTCGTCCTTTTCATATTCCTCTTCATTACTTCAATTAAAAATTTGCTTTGAAATTACAATTTTCAATTGTATAGATTTTTAGATACCTCAAGTAAGGATTATTTTCCTTTTCCAAAGAAAATATATTATAGATTTTATAGGAAAATCCAGTTGAAAACTTTGTGGGGGACAATTTACTTACCTAAAGAAGCACAATTGCAATAACAAATAGGGTGTAGGATTTTAATAAATTAGAGGAGAAATTTTTATTAATCTTATTTTAGAATATACACATTTTTAAAGAAAGAGTTTTTTTTTTCCTCCTCATCTCAGTTTACCTGGTTATAATCTAGGAAAAATTGTCATTCTCATCTTGCCAAGGTACCCTGTATAACGTTCTAATCACTGAATTTTTTTTTAGTGTCTTGAGTTATTGTGCCTGCCTCATTTAGAATTTTAGATATAAAGCAGACTGCAGAAAATAAGAAACTTTGTGAACTCATTCTTAGGCTTTTCTGGTGGAAGAATGAGTGTACAAGTTTTAGTATTTACTTTTTTTGTTTTGTTTTGTTTTGTTTTGTCTTCTTGAGTTGTAGTTTAGGCTGGCCTTGAGCTCGCTTTGTAACCCAGGCGGGTCTTAGACTTGCAAGGATCCTCTTGCCTCAGCCTCCCAAGTACTGGGACTACAGGCATGTGACAGCCACTTTACTTTGATAGGAAGTTAGAAAGTACACATGAGAGCAGCTATAGCCAATGATTCTTCTAGAACACCACTAAAGTTTAGATAATACAAGCATTTCATATTCAGGAAAAAACAAAAAAAGATTTTGTCTTGTTTTCTTCAATAACCATGATTTGGACACAGGTTTTGTCCCTATGCTATGCAGTTACATGGGAATACATATAACTGCAGTTACAGTTACATGTATTTTCTCAAAAAACATATGTAACCTTTTCTGTTACAAAGTACCTGCCTTAAATGAAACAAAACATTCTGATACTTCTAAAAAAATATTGTGAGAAAATATGTTGAAGGCACTTATTTTTTTTTCTTTTCAAAGTTTTATTGATATATAGCAATGAGACAGTTTCAAATCAAATCGAAAGTACAGTTTCAACAAATAATACACTGCATACATTCTTCCTAGTGGTTAATTGCAGTACAAGATGCAGACTTGTGATCCTACTTACAAACATCATTAGAAA